TCGAGTAATATATTTGTTATAAAAGTCTAATTTATATTCGATTCCTTTTTGTTAAGGTTTATTGGTTGACATGAACAGTTTTTTCCATAAATTTCCGTAAAAACTAAAGCACACCAAACATTTTTGGACAAACATTCGAACGAAATTTAAAATCGTTAACATTATTGTTATGCCAATCGTAAAATGATCATTATATTATACAAAAATAGCTTATTTATGGATCATGCCGAATCAATAACTTAACTGGATCGGCTGAAAAATTATTCGGCAAATTTTTACAGGTGTCCCAGGAATTATGATAACAACTGTAAATCCGGTGAATCTATGGTAATTATTTTTTTGAAACGAATATCTACAAAAAAATATATAAGTCACTCTCGTAATGGTGAACTCTCAATATAGTGAAGAATAGGTAGTTATTGTGAAACCAGACTCAAAACAGTTTATATAAAATTTCCTTAATATAGTGAATTTGCTAATAAAATTCTCAATATAGCGAATTTTTATTTATTTCGTTTGTCACAATATATTCGTACGTAAGAGTTTCACAGGATAACAATAACGAAGTAGAAATTTAATAATTCGCCCGAAAAATCTTTTTGTTATTTCTTAATAATTAACATTGTTTTATGCTTTATTACCGTTACGAATGAGCAACCACTTCAGACATCCATCCCTGTATCACATAACCCCGGCACTAATTGCGGATGATCCAATGGATATCCAAAAAATAACTATCGGACCATTCAACGGATTTATCCAAACACTAGGGTGAGGTTATGCTTCGGGTCTTGTCACTGGAAATTTTGGGTACATTTGTTTAATCTTTTTTTTTTATATATTTAGGTTAGTGAAACCCCGTGGTTTCAGCTACTAATTCCATATACAGTAGAAACGAGATTCAGCTACCAAACACGACTATTCTACTTATAGTTGCATAAATATTAAACTTTCTATAACCTCTTCTTTAAATAAATGACGGAAAATTCGTTTATTTGCAAACTAGAAGAGGCTATTTCATGCCAAAACATTTATTTTCTTGATTACAGCGAATTTACAGATTTTGACAATATATGTCAAACCAAATTTAGAAAAGTGTATAAGTGTAAATGGAAAAAATGTGATCTTACTGTCGTTCATAAGGATCTAGACGTTAATAGCAATCTTCAAATTGTTCAAGAGGTATAATAGCTTTTAAGCGAAACTGATTTTGAGTCAAAATCCCGAAAAACAGATCCCTGAAGTACATAACACTGACTAAATCGACAGCATTATAGCTAGTGCCGGCTAACTTTGCCTGCATTATGTTCTTTCAGGAATCTGTTTTTCGGGATTTTGGCCCAAATTCGTGAGAACTTTACTCTTAAGGATAAAAAATTTTTATTTTTTTATATTTTATAATTGGGAATTATTTTATACCCCTAAATTTATTATCCATACCCTGCAAAAATTTAACTTTGAAGAAGATATCACAGCGACCACCAAGTCAAATTCAATGAATTTTTTTTGTTTGAATTCTATGAATTCATAGCATTCGAACAAAAAAAATTTCACCGAATTTGACTTGGTAGTTGCTAAGATATCTTCGTTCAGAGTTTTTTTAAAAAAAAATTCAAAATAGCTATTTTTTTAACTTTGAGCGAAGATATCCCAGCAACTAACAGGTTAAATTCGATGAACTTTTTTTTGTTTGAATTCTATGAATTCATAGTATTCAAGCAAAAAAAAGTACATCGTATTTGACCTTGTGGTTGCTGAGATATCTTCGCTCAATGTTTAAAATAGTTCAAAATATCTGTCAAAACAAAAGCTGCACCAAGGTTTTTTCCAAACTTTGAGCGAAGATATCTTGACAACTACCAGGTCAAATTGATGAACTTTTTTTTGGTTGAATTATTTGAATGCATAGAATTTAAATAAAAAAAAATATTCATCGAGTTTGACCTGTTGGTTGCTGAGATATCTTTACTCAAAGATTTAAAAAAAGGTCAAAATGTCTAACAAAACAAAAGCTGCGCTAAAATTTTCTTCAAACTATAGTTGTTAGACGTAACCTTTTTTACTTGATGATGAAAGACGAAACCTAAGCCCCAAAATGACGTAGTACTCCCACTAAAAAAAAAGCGGGCCGCTCCCTCTAAAAAAAAAAACCGAATTTATGATAATAACGAATCCTAGTGCTATCGCTAATAATTGTTACTGAAAATTTGGTTTCGACGAAGCTAAGCTATTAATAAATTTAACTCTAATTTAGCCTGTTAATAAATCATTAATGAAGATCTTAAAAACAATGTATGTACCTCTTATTAATTTATTATCTGCACTAATTTATCAATAAAAAGTCTTTTATTGATTTAGCCAATAGGCGTAATACTTATTTTTAATTGAAATACAGGAAAATGTAAATTACTTCTTAAGTTTCTTATTAAATTGA